ATTTTTAGTAGAGATGGGGTTTCACCATGTTGGCCAGGCTGGTCTTTAACTCCTGATCTCAGGTGATCCACCTGCCTTGGCCTCCCAAAGTGTTGGGATTACAGGCATGAGCCACACGCCCAGCCTGTTTATTTTTTAATAACTTGGTTTAAAACAGAGGCCAAATAAAAAAATTTTACTTTTGTCTCCAGCATTTTTATGTAAAGCTTGAGTTATAATTGTGTGCTCAGTTTAGTGCAGGTAATGCTGACAGGGATTCTGTATTACTATTTTCTTTTTTTCCCTGATGAACAGTTGTTGTTTAGTAATACTAAAACTCATTTTGGCTCTTAAAATTTGTACATTATTCTTGTGTTCTGTAAATCCTAGACTCAAAACTGCTCACTAGAGGTGTTAATTATTAATGTTCTTTCATGAGTAGGTGCTGTGGTCTAAATGTTAGTACCCCCCCCTCAATTCATATATGGAAACCTAAATTCCCAGTGTGATGGTATTAAGAGGTTGGGCCTTTAGGAAGTGAAGTCATGAGGGCTCTTCTGTCATGAATGAGTGCCCTTTTGCCATATGAGAACACTGCAATAAGGTGCCATCTTTTTTTAAGATGAGGTCTCCCTGTGTTGCCCAGGCTGGTGTTGAACTCCTGGGCTCAAGGGATCTCCAACCTCAGGCTCTCAAAGTACTCGGATTACAGGTATGAGCCACCACACCCAGCCTAAGGTGCCATCTTTGAGGCAAGCCCTTATCAGACATTGAATCTGCTGGTGCCTTGATGCTGGACTTCCCAGCCTCCAGAACTGTAAGAAGTAAAATTTCTGTTTATAAATTATACAGCCTAAGGTATTCTGTTACAGCAGCAAGACAGTCGGTTATCTCCAGATAGATTTTTCTTAAGTAAGCAAACAAAATTAAGCATATTTTATGGGATATGGGAAAAATTTATCCAACACTGTTGAACAAATATTTAAAAATAAAAGTTATGTTTACCAGAATTCTCCATTTGCTTTTCTCCTGGCAAACTTATCAACCTTAGTTGTCATTTTAAATTCTCCCTGTAACTTTTGCTGCTTTAACATATACTTTATATGAAAGTTTCAGTTCCCACCTCCTCTACCTCAGAGAACTACCCTTCTTCTCTTGAATGACATTACTTTCTTAATACACACACACACACACACACACCCCCACTTCAGAGTCTTAGGAAGAATACACACACACACACACACACACCCCCACCCACTTCAGAGTCTTAGGAATACACACACACACCCCCACACACACACAGCCACTTCAGAGTCTTAGGAAGCACACACACACACACACACACACACACACCCCACTTCAGAGTCTTAGGAAGAATATAACCTTGAGGCCCCCTATCCTGGTTATATCACTGTTTCTTTCTCCTTATGGTTTAATGGTGAGGCCCCATATCCTGTGGGTCAGAAATGACAGTCTGGTTATATCACTGTTTCTTTCTTCTTATGGTTTAATGG